CCTTTCTGAAGAAGTTTAGTACAGGAATCTAAGAGAGAACCAGCAATGATGACCACTGATGTAGTACCATCTCCAGCTTCTATATCCTGAGCTTTAGACAGCTCAACCAGCTGAGTAAACAGGACATATACTAAGTTACCAAACGAGGTGTGTATCCAGTAAGACCTAATTCTATCATTCTTTCAATGCCTCACAAATTAGTGTCAAATAGAACTTATTACTAACACCTTAAGATTAACTAATTCATGACTTTTGACTTGTTGCCTCTGCTAGTTTTTCTTTAAAATGCTGACGAGGCGAGCTCTAGTGGCCCAGTGGCAAGAAGCTACACTGCAATCTCAGAGGTGAACGGTTCAAATACACCAGATGCTTTGTTGGAGAAAGAACAATCTCCTCCTGTACCAGTCAAATCTGATTTGATGGTACACACACAAACAAATAATAATAAAAAGAAATCTAAAAAAAAAAAAAGCTGTCCAGTATATTTATCACACATATAATTTTACTTACATACTTCCTCTGTAAGAGGGATTATTTATTTGATTCAATCTTTTAGCAACCCATGTTGCATACAGGTACACCTTGAAAACTTATGAGGGACTGCATGTGAGGGTAGGAGGTTAGTATGGAGTCCTCTACCATACTTATTTACTCACTAACTATTGCTTAGCTAATGTTGGATGAGCATAATGGAATTCTGAAAGTGAACTCCCCCCCCCAACCTGATGTCAGTCCCATTCTATTCTACAACAGTGGCACTATGCAGTATTTGTCTTTTTGTGACTGAGATATTATACTCAGCATAATGTCCTCCAGGGGTAAGTGAAGTTTATTTATACAATTTAAAAGGATTTTTTTTAAAAGGAATTTCTTTCTAGAACATTTGGTTTCAAATGCTCATGTTTCACCTGATATCAAAATCTACCATAATCTTTAATTTGGTAACTGTGTTATATACACATCAGTGTACATTTAAGTACCAATTCATTTCACACAAAATTAAAATTATTCTGATCTCCTCTATTATCTTACCAAACTAATTATACTTACCATTCTTGCTGCTGGATGTAACACTTGCATTTGTTTTAGAATGGTGGCACCATCATTTGTAATAGTCACATCACCTTTTCCATCTTGAATCTGGAAAAGATTTTTTGATTTAAGTTTCATTTTAAGTTTTAGAGCTTCAAATCTAGCATTAATTAATAGGACCTCTGAAAGGCTCTAAGACATTTTCCATGTTTTTAATTAAGAACTGTTTGTGCTGAGCTCTGGTGGCCTAGTGGTAAGGAGCTGCAACTACAATCCCAGAGGCGCACGGTTCGAATCCACCAGATGCTCCGCCGGGGAAGGAGGGACAATCTCCTCCTGTACCAGTCAGTTCTGATTTGACGGTACACACACAAAAATAATAAAATAAAAATAAAATTAAAAAAATAAAATAAATAACTGTTTTCACAGTGCTTCATTTCCAAGTTTCTTTCCTTAAAGTACCCTACTGGCTACTTAAAGAGTATGTCAGCAGATTTGAACCTAGCAGCTACCCTGCAGGAGAAAGATGTAGTCTAGCTTCTGTTATAACTGGAAATCTGACAGAGAGATGTCATGAGTCAGCAGTGGTTGATGGCAATGGGTACAGTGTGTTGGCCCACTGACATGTCAGCAGTTCAAGTCCACCAGCCATAAGAAAGATGGGCAGCCCGTCTCTTCCTATAAAGGTTTATTTCATTAGAAACCCAACAAAAGGTGACTATGAATCACTATCAGCTTAAAGGCAGCAGTTACAAGCATAATTTAAGAGCCCAATTTTACAAACACAATGTGTTAAAATGTTGGCTTTGTTCTTGTATACTTAAAAGAGAAGGCATCTATTGTGGTAACTGTTAAGGTCTATGATAGAAGGAAAAAAAAATTCTTTCCTGGTTTCAATGAACAAGAAACCTAATCACTCCCATGATCTTGAAAAGGACAGCACAATGTAAGGTGGTGAACACAAGTCTTACTGTGTTTTTGGTCAACACCGTTTTACAGTATCCTAAACACAAAACAATAGCAGCAGAAGATTCCAGAACAGTCAGAGGGATTAACGATATGATATACATCTCTTTCTATTGCTTTACTTTTCACTTTATGACTTAACTAGTACAAAACATAATGGTTTATTACTCAATAGTTACTGAAATGCATTTGTTTTATGTTAACAGTCAAATCAAACAAGAGTATTTCACTCAACACAGTATCAGGTCAGAGCTGTGTTAAAACAATGAACCACTTAAGTCGACTGTACTGTCCACATAACTAAACAATGAACTGCTCTTCTAGATGCATTCTCACTGTTTTAATTTACAGTTAAAACCCATCTACCACAAGTATTCTCACTCTTAAGGAACTTTAAGATCATCTAGTACAGACAGTAGTGTTAAGTAAATAGAGTGACTCAGCTTTTTACCATTTTATCCATTCCTTTTGGTCCAAGGCTTGTTCTAATAGCATCAGCAACAGCTGTAGACAGAAGGGAAGAGGGAAAAAAAGTCAAGACTCTAACAAGATGATTTCTCCTCTCCATCACCATTTTGTCCTTTTTAAGATATGGTGTACAACAGCGAGTCCACTAAAGAAAATGGTTATCTCCTGGAAACAAAATATTGTAATTACTCCTTTTAAATATATAATGCTTCACTTTTTTTATTGTGAAAAGTCACTACTTGGGTACTTGTGCTCTTACCTATGGCAAAATAAAATGTGAGGATTTACTTACAGGTGATTACTTACCTTTCGCTGTTGAGTCCCCTGCTACCCATAGCGACCCTATGTACAGCAGCTCTGAACCCTGCCCTGTCTCACTGATTCTGACACATCTACTGCCCCAGTTACTGTGTCAATCCATTTCATCAGGGTCCTCCTCTCTTGCACTGTCCCTCCATCCTTCCAAGCATGATGTCCTTCTCCAAGGACTGGTTTTCTCCTGACCTATCATTAGCTTTGATTATTGGAGACTGTATCATTTCCACCATCCCATTCAAAAAGAAAAACAGTAAAGAACAGGCTGGACTTCCTAATTTTTTTTTTTGAGGGCAAAACAGTAAAGATAGATTTGAAAGTTACATCTTTACATCCCCAAAAGAATGGACCTCCCCACTTAAAAAAAAAAAAAAAAAAAGGAAATATGGAAGGGAAACCTAGACTTCCTAACTTATTCAAGTCACTCGTTTTTTTCCCTGTAACTAGAATATAATCATCTCTGAGATAAAAAGACTGTTCTGGTCATTAGATCCCAGCACTCAGTATACAGAAAAGTCAAGAGTAAATGTCTTCAAACACAATCACAACTGGCCTTTCCATTCTATACTCATCCATCCCTTGTCCTGTTTTTATCCACCATGCACTACTGTTTCACATTCGAGCCTACTGCCAATGGGTCAATTTCAATCCCTCAAACCCCCAAATACTAACACAAATCCTCTTTGTTAAAAATCTAACATTAGTTTTTGCCCTCCAGATGGTCCCCCAAATTTCTTTCAACAGCCTATAATCAACCTAAACTTATGGCTTCAGAAATGCTCTCTAGTCAAATTATCTAATCAAATTTTTATTTCTAGGTATATTCTTTCGCTCTTTCAAATGACTAATTTATTCTTGTAGACAATGGGACATCTCCTTCTCACTATGGAAAAATAAGCACTGTTATCTTCTACTGCATTTCCCCTTCGAGGGAGCTCTAGTGGCTTAGAGATAAGGAATTGTGCTGCCAACCCAAAGGCATGCAGATCGAATCTACCAGCTGCTCCGCGGGAGAAAGATGAGCAGTCTCTCCAGAGCATCAGTTATGGGTCAGTTCGCCTCAATTTCACACACCACCACACTCCCTACTCTGTCACCCACCTTTATTTGCATCATTGTGTTTCCGGTTACCTGGCCTGACCGCCTCAAATCCGTCTAAGGGTTGCACTTTCCACATTGTTTTTATTAACTGTCCTTGAATCGATGCTGCCGCAGTCTCACTTGTGCAGAGAACTGCTCCCTCCCTAAGATTTTTCACGTATGTGTTTTCTGTCTTAATGGTCAAGGAGCCTCTGGACTTAACCATTTGTATCACTTACTGGTTCTTCATAAACTCTTAAGTCACCTAACCATCACAGAAACCTAACTGGTTGGCTACAACCATCTCATTAAGCTGAAGAACAGTCTGAAGTTGGGGAAGTTTAAGCCAAATGTTTTCCAAGATACCATGACCCGAGCGCTAAAATGCCATCCTAAACTTATCTGTCACTTCTTCGGGCACCTTATTAAGCCAGTAAAATAATATTCTCCGCACATGCCGGTGGACAGGATTGTCTACGCTTTTGTTCCCATTTCTCCCTCATGAATCCACTATCTCGCCTCGACTTCTTTTAAAACAACTATCAAAACAACATTTATTTCTTTTTAAAGCAGCAAATCCATTCCAATCTATTTTACAGGCTAAGAGGCCTTGATTCAGAGGTTGGAGAGTTAATACAACCACTTAGAACAGAATTTTCTTTAAAAAAAGAATAAAAAATATTTCTGATCTATTTTAAAAGCAAATCTACTCCTGATCCATTGTACAGGTTAAGAAGCCTTGATTCAGAGATTGGAGAGTTACAAAGTAATAGACGAAGAGACCGAAGCTCAAGTCTTAATACTGTACATGTTTTCAGTACAAAGGGCGTCGCCCGATCAACACAGGGGGAATTTACATGATTTTTTCTCAATAGATATGCCCAGGAAGCTTGTTCACACGGAAATTCTAAACAGAGGTGCTAAAAACGTTGTGCAAAAAACACGTGGATCCAACGGGCGGAAAGTGAGAGGTGTGAAGTGTCAGATCCCGACCTATGCCTGGCGCGGCGGATGAGCCGCTTTTCCGCCCTAACGCGACGCACCGAGCACAGGATGAAAAACCAGGGGGAGCAAAGAGCCCATACGGGGCAGGTGTCCAGTCCCTCCGCATTCAGAGTCCACATGAGAAGGGACGAAAATGCCATTAAGATCTTTTCTGGGACAAGAAGCGATAGATCACCAGGAAGGGCCTGAAAATAGGCCGTGCCTTCCCCAAACCCAGGTGAGAACCCAGTGCCGACCGCCAGCTCCCGAGCGCGGTACCTTTGGCCGCAGAGATGTTGCTGAAGCGGATCTGGGCCGGCTTGTCGCGGTCCTGATAAGCGCCCTTCCCGCGGCCGCCGGCAGCCCCAGCGGGCGCCCCGCTCCGGGGGACTACGTTCTCGGGCATGGCACTCTCGGCTGAGTCGGTGCGGGGTCAGAAAGGACGGATGGACGCGGATTCACACCGCAGACCAGCTAACGGCCTCCTGCCACCGCCCTCCTGAACCTTCCAGAAGGAGTAGCCGGCGGAGGAGGGGGCCTGCGCGGCAGCGTCGCGCCTGCGTGACGTAAGAGGCTGTCCGTGGCGCGCCTGACCGAGTGCTGCGCACGCGCGGAGGGCTCCGGAGTTTAGACGGGGGTTGGGATAACCTGGACGGGGCCCTGCGACGGGCTTTGTAGTCGAGGGCACAAAAGACATGCTTTACAAACGCTCACGATTTAAAGGCGAGTGTTGGGCGCACACACTTGTCCTCCGTGACTGTCAGGTCTCTCCGTTAGCTCGAGCTGCACGAGTGTGGAGGTTGAGTACCAGGATGGGCGTAACCCATCAGGACGGGTGGACCAGAGTTTTCTTTGTGATCAGAAGTCAGAATGGAGAGATGTGGGCTACTCGGATGCTTTGCTTTGATTTAAATAGAAGTTACTTATGGCTGACCCTCCAACGGGTTTTCAGAGGCCATAATTCGCTGGGGAGGAAAGTGTCCATCTTTCTCTCTCTGCACCGTTGATAGATTCGAACCACTGTCTCTGAGTGTCAGTGCAACTCTTTACCCATTTGGCCACCAGAACTCAACATTTTGCTCGATTGTCTCATATTATTTGATAATGAGTGGTAGTTTAAATATCTATTATTTGATACCGAGAGAAAAAGCTATGGAGATTTTACTGACTGTGAACTCTATCCCTGTCTAATTAGAGCCCTTTGTTTTACATTGTTTTTACCAAAATACAGCCACTAGCTCTGGTAGTGTAATCCATAAAGAGTAGCGCTGCTAACCCAAGGCTGCCTCTTTGTTCAAATCCGCTGGTGGCTCCAAGCGAGAAATATGGGCAGTTGCTCCTGCTGTGGTTTACAGCTTCAGAAACCCACAGGGGTCTCTAGGAGTCTGCTTTGAGTTTGGGTATTGAAGCATTATGTTGTTATGTGTCTCTGAGTTGACTAAAGCCTATAGCGACCTTATGCACAATAGCTCTGAACTCTGTCCTATCCTAAGCCAATCTCACTTTCTTTGACGTGTCTACCCTCATTATCCCAGTTACTGTGCCAATCCATCTCATCCAGGGTCTTCTCCTGCCCTATCCCCGCACCCTTCCAAGCTTGATGTCCTCCAAGGACAAGTCTCTCCTGCCACCATGACCAAAGTATATGAGATGGAGGTTCAAAATCCTCGCCTCCGAGGAGCAGCCGGGTTTCACCTTCTCCGGGTCAGAACTGTTTGTTCTCTTGGCAGTCCATGGTATGTTCAATATTACTCTTCTTCAGTATCACAAGTCAAACATCCACAAATTAAAGTAGCAGTTATTTACTACAATTATATACCAGACACAATGCTAAATCTTTTATATATTTTATCTAACCACAAGTCTATGAAATGGCATCACCACCTTTAACAGATGAGGGAACTGAAGCACAGAGAGGGAAGTGAAACTCAGGATAACCATTAAATATTTCAATCTTACTTGAAAGCAGTAAGATTGGTTGGAAGCAGTATTTCAATTTAGAGTTATGACTTCAGAGGTCTGCTGCCCAGGAAATATGGAAACTTATGCAGCAAAAGTTCATTCACTGTTTAGTTACAAATACTTGCTGAATGACCAGAAAGTGTGGGATGCCTGTGGTAGATTTGTTTAAAATAACTCTGTGATTTTTTTAAATTAAATTTTAATAATTTTAATGAACAATTACAGAGATTTTGGGTTTCCATTCATTCATTGTTGTACTATTTTCTCTACCCTCCTCCCCAGTTCGCTCCTCTTTTTTCCCCCCCTTGAAAGTCTGTTTTAATTGTCCCATTGCCACAGTGCTTGTCAAAGCCAGTTCTGATTAATCTCCTTTGTCAGTGTGTCCTTTGCC